TATGTATTTGTTTTTATTTCCTCACTATGTATCTGTTCACTCATGCTAGTGCAACGTAAGCATAGGGTGGGTGCTCTCTCCCCAGAATTGTTGAGTACTAAATAAGTAAATAAGTAAATTTAGTATAAAAGGGATAGTTCACTTTATATTATTTAGTGCCTGGTATGTATGTATTATGTTTGTATTTTTGAGACAGAGCCTTGCTCTGTCACCCAAGCTGGAGTACAGTAGCACAATCACAGCTCACCGCAGCCTCGAACTCCTGGGCTTAAGTCATTCTCCTGCCTCAGCCTCCCAAGTAGCTGAGACTACCAGCATGCACCTCCATGCCTGGATAATTTTTTTTCCTCTATTTTTTGTAGAGACAGGGTCTTACTTTATTGCCCAGGCTGGTCTCAAACAGCTAGCTTCAAGCAATCTTCCTGCCTCAGCCTAATTCCTCCCAAATTGCAGGAATTAGTTCCCCTGGAAACCAGTCCCCATCCTTAGGCTATCCAGGAGCCCATCAAGTCACCACACCTGGCTTGGTTTTTATTTATTCTTAAACAATACAAGAATTCTGTAACTTCTGGTACATATTGTAGTTTTCCTCAAGTGTTTATCCTCAGAGAAATTAAGTTTCGAGTGTTTATTCATAAGTGGGTTCTATAAGGATTTAATCTTTTATTCATTTAACAAATATTAATTGAGCCTACTTTATGCCAGGCTCTGTTTGGAGGCATTGTACAAGAATGGATAGAAGTTCTTCTCTCAAGGATATCACAGATAACTGGAGAGTTACTACAGACAATAATTCAATTAATTGGGCAGAGATCTATATAATGTGCTATGGCAGATATAGAACAGGGTCTCCATTTTTTTGAGGGACCTAGCAAAGGCTGTACCTATGACGATGACATTTTCACTGGCACTGGAAAGACAAATAACAGAAATCATTTTTCCTTTTTTAAAATCAAACTCAGAGTTCCTTCAAACATTTTTTCTTCTTTATTGTCTGCTTTATTAAACCTGTATTCTAAAGGATCTTCATTAATCTGATATGCTTAATTCACTCAACATTGAGCAACTACTGTGTACCTTAGTCTCAGGGGTGAGGGTACAGCCAAGAATAAGACAGACAGGACATCCTATAACTAAGAAAAACAATAATATATAATTGTTTATGAGAAATGCTAGACAAGAGGAACATGAGGTAAGAGATCATATACAATTAGCATACCTAATCTAGTCTGTAGGACCAGAGGAAGCTCCCTCAAGGAAGTACTACTTCATTTATCCAAACATGCATGGCTTTATCCCCATCTGTTCACTGAGATGATAAACAGTAGTGCAGTTCTGTCATATACATTCGGGACAAACAAAGCCCTTTGGCACCTTACTTTGGCAGAGATAGGTCTTAGGAGAAAAAAGAAAGGGCTGAGTTCTTTAAGCCATTCAAATATCGTTACATGGCAGAGCATCAATTCATTGTTAATTTGAAGGACTATTAGGCACAAAATATTTCTAACTCTACACAACCATGTCTAGACACCACCTGCCAAGATGATCCATGCTGGGCCATTGTTTACTTGTCTGGCCCTGAATTCTATCTATTTCAACCTACTTTCCACCCTGGTTCTGGCTTGCTTGACTCTCTCTATGCCAGTGCCAAACCACTATTCCACCTACAACCCACAGCTGCCTTCCTCTGTTCTGGACCTCACTGGCCCTTCCTGGTAGATTTCTTTCTGAATACTATGTGCTATTTTACACATCTTCCCCATTTCTGCTGGGGCTGGTGCTGAACTCCAAGGAACTTCTAGCCCCAAAGGAAGTCTCATTACTTTTTAGAGGGTGACAAAGCTGTAAAGCAGGATCTCCAGATCAAAGGGCTAAGGATCATTTTGTTCAGTGTAAAAGAAATTCTGGCTAAGATGTAGTTATAATAAATTTATTGCTAGCCTAAATTTAACCACTAAAGTTTTAAAACAGCATTCTGTCAAAATAACTGAAGAATCTTGTGACTGTTAAAATCATCTTAGCCTGTACATTTAATGACTTTTCTATTTTTCAATGGTTGTTTTCTCTCCCTTCCCCATTTTTTCTCTAATGTCAATTTTAACCAGCACCGTCCATTTCAAGGTCACACCATTCAGATTTAGAGCATCTGCAGGGAAGTGGGCCATCAATTAAGAACTCCAAAAGTCTTGCTGAGCTACTGGGATGTTAGGGACCTGGTTGCCTGTAAGACAGCAAGAATCCTCTAGATGAACTGAAATGTTGTCTACTTTTATTCCCTTCTAAATAAAATTCAAGTTAAAAAAAATTTTTTTTTTAAGAACTAACCACAGTCCAGATTTTGTTCAGGGATAGGAGCAAAAATACAATTAATGGCCCTTAGATGAAGGAGCTCAGTATTTGGGAATAAACTGAAGTTTTCCATGTGATGGGGTAAGAACCTTGATAGAGAGCTGGATCAAGAGCCCTTGCAGAGGAGGCAAAAGTCCCATTTGTAAATAAAGATGGCATATTATAATTTATATTATATGTTATATATATATTATTATAATATGTTATATATTATATAACAGGCAGCAGAGTCTCCTAGCCATGAGGTTCATTTGGCATTAGGGATGAAAACTGACTAGAGCAAACCTGACTTTCCTAGAAGAAAGAAATCCCCTTCTACCCAGGAGTCTTGACTTCTTAGCATTTTGTCCTTGTAGTGTATTTAAAACATAATCTGTCTCATTTTACAAGGTCTTTGTGTGTGTGTGTTCCTCAGTAGATGATATAAACATGAAAGAGAGAAGTCTTTTAATTATCTCAGAGTATCTCCTCTTCCCCCTGTGATGTAGCAAAGTGCTTTGTAATTTTAATCATAGTAATAATGGTAATGGCAATATTAATGTTAATTGATTTAATAACAATAACATCTTCAGTCTCTTATATAGTACGTATTACATCCCAGGCACTGTTCTATTCAATTCATACACACACACGTACAAGTACGTGTACATATGCATGTGTATGTATATTTGATTAAACATATAGACACTGTTATCCTGATTGTACAGATAAGTGAAGCATAGAAAGATTAGTTTGTCCAAGATCATCAAAACGAGTAAGTCACAAACTCGAACTTTGAAGGCAATAAAGCCTGTCTTCAGAGTTCTTTCTCTTAGCCACTAGTACTTGTCCATAGTAGTGACTCAGTAAAAATACAGAGGATGCAAAAAAAAATGTATACACATTTTTAAAAAGGAAAAAATACTGTGTTAAAATTATAGTACTCAGTATATACCTGCCTGTCACATGGTGTCCCTAGCATTCATTTGAAGGTCATACTATACATTGCTACTGTAATTCAATTCAACTTCGTAAAGTAATACATAAATAACAGCTCTTAAAATGTGTATACTTTTTTTGGCACCCCTGGTATTTGTTGAATTTGTACTTAATAATGATAACACAGAAAACAAAACAGGTTAAATGCTGTGTTCCTTAGATGTGGAAAGATTCAAACAACATGAAAGTACGAGGTAGAATAATGTAGTGGAAATAGAGATCTAGGCTACATTCCAGAACGGTTTCGGACACTGGCTGCATGTGTCGAAGTTCCTGAGACCCTCAGTTTCCTCACCTATAAAGGGAACATTTATAAATGACTTCTTTTGAAATTTTAGACTTTTTTATTACCCATGTGCCCTTCATGATGTCATTATCTTTATCCATCTAAATGGTTATTCCAAAGTTGACAGATGGATATAAAGTATGGGAATTAAAACATTGATAAATTTTCTCTAAAATCACAGGTCTATGATAGCAAAGAAGAGCATTTATAAGATAATATTCTTCAAGGAGAATGTTGAAATTAGGACTAGAAAAACCAAAATTTGATATGATACCATAGGACTTTGGGACCCAATTGACCTGAATACTAACCCCAGTGCCCCCATGTGCCATCTGTATGTTTTGGAGGGTAAATTACTTAAACTTGCTAGACTTTCATTCCTCACCAGTAAAGCAAGGATAACTATACCTAGTAGAGTTCTTATGAGCATGAGAAATACTATGCTAAAGTGCCTGCCACCCAGTATTCAATAGATGATGGTAATTAACTTTTCAGTCTTCATTGATGGGTCTCAAGATTCAGCTGTAGCAGGATCAGAGTTGTTGAAAACTGTTTCCTGCCAGTTCCTTGTTTTAAATGGGAATACTCTGTGTTGGGTAATATAAGGATAATAAATTTAAACTGTGTGCCCTACCATCAGGGGAATTCCAATCTACATAATATGGATGTATTAGTTCAGTTGCCAATAATGAAGAAAGCACTGTCGACCAGTTCAGAGTAGGAAAAATATATCTCAGTCAAATATGCTCAAATAAGGATATATACTGTAAATAATAATAGTATTGCTGCATAATGAAGTAATGCAGTAAATTTTCACTTAACTTTGTGGATTCTTGAAAACTGTGACTTTAAATGAAACATCATACTATATAACAAAACAAATTTTACCATAGGATAATTAATATCAACAAGAGTCAAGTTCATACAGCATACAGCATGTAGTTTTGCGTAAAATCCCAGTTTTCAAGAAGCTATCAAGGATGTTAAGTGAGGTCTTACTGTAACTTATTGCGATGTATGTATATAATGCCTTTTTGGGCTCATTGGCTATCTAAATAATTTCTCATCATTGCAACTCACACACTGAGTTAAAGAAAAATTTAATTCCAGCATAAGCCTTGTCATAAATTCTATTTTTATTACCTTAATTTGATATGACCTTAGAATTTAATCTTAGCTCAAACTTCATCTGAAATGAGCAATTATTGCTGTAATTCTTTTGAAATATTAAATGCAAACTTATCTAACTGTCCAGCTCTCCAACAGGATATTCTTTAAAAGGATTGTGTACCCTCAAAAGTTATTTTTTTAAAAAGCCACTCATCACTCTTACTGAGCACATCAAGCAACTCTCGAGTTTGACATTTCTTAAACATTTCTTCCCCAGATTTTTATTGGTGAGATATCCATGTATTTCATAAAATCAACAAGAGAATCCCTGATTGCTCAGGAGAAAACAATTCTGACTGGAGAATGCTGTTACCTGAACCCCTTACTCCGAAGGATCATACGATTTACAGGTGAGTACGAGAGCATGGTGAACTAAGCTCTCACATATAGGTTAAACTTACTAAGCTTACTAAAGGTGAACATGCTTAATAAAATAAACTATGGAACTATCAACTTTAAAAGCAAGGGTTCTGATGGGATTTTCCACGAAGTACAGAAATCGGAGCCTAATCCTAGTGCCAAGTCAAATTTTTGACCCTTGAAGTGAAATGGTACTAAGTGGTATTAAGTTGTGATTATAAATGATTTCAACTTTGATTTTTTTCCCCCTACACAGCATTTATCTGTGATTCTCCCAGGACATATAGTTTAATATTGACTAGCTATTGCTATATACCCTTTGACCAAGTCAGGCAACAGTGGGGGACAGTAGGGGACACCAACAAAATAAATTTAGTAATAATCAAGTTTACTGACAAAGATTCCCCATCCAGTAAGTTTGTTATGCAGGGAATTTAACAAAGAGTGGGAAATTTCATGTATTCAGTTTCTTGAAAATAATGCCTTTACAAAGTTGGAAAACTAATACTAGTACTCATGACAAGAAATAATGATGGCATGTTTTACATTCCTCCTTCTAAGACTTCTATGAAAAGTCCTGAGGTGCTATGGGTAATAATTAGAGATATGGGGATGGATATATATGAGTACAGTTAGGAATAGAAATCTTAGCATTCCTATACATTAAGTATTCTGTAATGATAACTATGAGATCCTACAAATATTTACTGACCAGATTTTCAAGAGAGCGATGATAAAACTCCCAAAGTGTGAAGATGGCTGGTATTAAAACAAGCCATGATACTGTTTTGAAAAAATAGAACTGACAGCTGAGATGGTGAGGATCAGAATACAACACACAAACCTTTTGGTAATCTTAATACTTATTATTTTTCTGTTGTAAGAAAAGGTTGACTTTCCTCAAGTAATAAAAGACCACATCAAAAACAAATATGCAATAAGTTCTGATTAGAATGGGAATGAGGAAAGTAGTACAGCGGGAAGTCTAAGAAAATCTAATTTAAAAGAAGTAACCCTTAACATTAAAATAGTCTGAAGCATTTTACTGATGGCATTTGCAGAATAAAAGTTTTTCAAGGCTATGGAAGTCTGAAATTGACTCATTGAATATACCCAATCAATACGAAGCCACTACTGTCCAGTTCACTCATGCCAAACAATGGTTCCTTTCAAAGATATCCAAAGTTTGATCACTTCCCAGAGTGGTTAGATAACAAATTATCAAGGGGAAAATAGAAGAAGAGAAGAGAACATTTATTATATACAACACTGAACTAGACATTTTATATACACTCTTTCATTTAATCTACCCAACACCCTGTAAGGTATTTTATAGTCCTAATTTTACATTTGAAGAATCTGACAGAAAATGTGCTAAAGTAATTTTTCCCAAGGACTGTATGTCCACACATAAGTTTATACGTAATTTGATCCAGGATTTTATGCACTGTCTGATCTGCTTCCTGCACATGTAATTAAAGCAAGTTATTCAAAGCAGAGGTTTATTACAATTAAGTGGAAGTATCTTTAAAAGTCACTGTTATTTTTTCTTGGCAAAGATAAGTCATACCTATTTGTGACCCACTCCCAGCTGGTCCAAAGAATGGAAATTTTAACTGGCATTTGTCATTTATATAGGTCTTCATGCATTGGCAGAGAAAGTCTTTGTTCACTGAGGGCTGTCAGAAAACCCCTACCATCCAGGAACCAGTCCTCCATATTGCCTGTTGCGGTGCCTGAAACTTCCACTTGAGATACTGCACTGGGTTGAAGCATGGTTCAGGAAAACCACTGTTAAAGTGGAAATTTGTCACCCCTGGAGAGGCATCAAATTCTCACACTCGTAATCAATGACACATAAGTCCATTTGGTCTATTATAAGTTAATAGAGTGCTGGATCCTGGGGCGATAAAATACATTAAAATGAGATTAGAGATACATTCAAATGAGGATTACAGTTCAGCATCATGAGATGCTGCTTATAAGTAAGGGATGCTAGAGTAGAGAGATAGCCAACAGATAATTTCAACTAGGAGAATTAGAGGAAACAGCATTGAAAGGCAAGGGGGAGTGCTGGGTGAAAAAAATCCTTGCTTCATGCTTTCTCTCTTTTGTTTTATGACCCCAGGATATGTCCCGTTGCTCAAGTCAAAAACTTGGGAGACGCCATAAGCCATCTGAGAACGTGTTAGAAATTCTCATTTTTAGGTCTCATTCTATACCTACTGAATTGGAAAATCTGGGGATCAAGCCTGATAATCTGTGTTTTAACAAGTAATCCTGGTGATTCTGATACATATAAAGTTTGAGAATCACTGGTTTAGGCCATTAAAATTTCTTGCCCGCTTAAGAGGTCTCCCTACATCTTATCTTGCAACTTAGTTCCATCCACGCCAACCTCATGAAAATACCATCTACTGACCATTTTGCAGACATTGATCTTTCTGAAGCAAAAATATAAATTTGTCCCTGCTTAAAAGCTTTCCAAGGATTCCCAGTGTTCTTAACATATCCTACAGAGCCCTTCATGGTCTGAGGTCCTCATGTGTCCCCTCATCTCAAGCAATTCCCACCTGAGGACATCTGCTTTATAATCCCTTCAAAGGGGGGTGTGATGCCTTGCCTCAGTACCTGTTCATGTGCTTCTCCTTCAGACCAAAATATTTCATCACCACACCCTCACTTTAAAAGGGGACCTCATCCTACTCATCCTTCAGAATACTGTTTAAACATTACCTGTTTACCAATTCAGACCATGAGTTGCCTTGTCTTCCAGGCCCCCAGTGACTCTTACATCTATATCTGTTATAGGTACTTATCTTATTACTACAGTTACTTAAATATGTTACTCCTATTAATTTGTGATCCCTTGAAGATCAAGATCCCCTGACTGTATTTTTTCCACTGTGTATCAATAGCATATTGCAAAGTGTCTGGCGCATAGGTTTTCAATGGATTTTTTTTTTTTTTTTTTTTTTGAGAATGGAGGAAGATGAGTGAAGAGCAAAGATGAACTTGGTTAAATCACAGATTTGCCTAAAACTAGTTTCATAATGCTGATTCTTAAATATTCATTTGCCTCCTGTTTAATTAACTTTATTACCACTCTTTAGCTTAATTATAGGAAATTAAAGTGTATAAATAAGGCAATTTCTAAGAGAAAGCTGAAGTTTATACTGACTTTTCATAAAGGAGAAGGTGGAGGACTAAGAGAAGGGGTCTATTTATCTTGAGAGGGATAATTTACTCTAAGATATATTTGAATTAATTTATTTTCATAAGAAGAAAATTTACTGTTTAGAATAAAGACCCTTTACATGGAAATGTTTTCTCTGAAAAAATTAGAGTAAAATAAGGTAGTAATCAAACTGTACTAGGAATGTTATTGTAAGAAGCTTAACAGAATTTTTTCTAGTGCAGAAGTCACCAAAATACATACTATGCAATTGACATTGGAAAATGACAACTGCTTCAGCTAACCATTCTAATTAAACTGAAATGGCATGACTTTTCTCTTGCAGTTTATGTAATTATTCTAGAATCTATTACAAATAGTATTTCCCAACAAATACCATCATCTTTACATTGCAAACAAGGTCGATGAAAGCAATACTTTCTTTTGTCAAGGATGGAAAAAACTTGGGATTCCAATACATTTCTGGTGAGAGTAAATTGATATACTCTTTGTGCATTGCAATTCAACATTATAATTCACTAGCCTTAAAAATAACTGTCCTTTTAACCCCAAATTCCATTTTAAGTAATCTATTCTGGCTGAAGGTGGTGGGTCATGCCTGTAATCCCAGCAATTTAGGAGGCCAAGGTGGGAGGATTTTTAGAGCCCTGGAGTTTGATACCAGTCTGGATAATATAGTAAGACCGTGTCTCTACAAAAACAAAGTCAAAAAATTAGCCAGGCATGGTAGCTCACGCCGGTAGTTCCAACTACTCAGGAGGCTGCCACTATGCTCTAGCCTGGGCGAAAGAGTGAGACTCTGACTCAAAAAAAAAAAAAAAAAACACCAAAAAAAAAAACCTAAGAAAATGATCAGAAATGTAGCTTAATTTAATGAACTAAAATTATTTTATCATAATTTAAATTAGAAATATCTTTTATATATATTTTTTAAAGTAATGCTGCCACCATAAGTTTGCAACCTCAGAAAATGATATTAAGAATCTTTAAAGGAGAATATTCATGATACAATGTTATGAGAAAAATCAAAATACTATGAATCTATAATTATTTTTGAATAAAAAGAATACAACATTATATAAGTGTATATTTGTGTCTTTGTGTGTATGTGACCTTTGGAAAGAGACTGAGGAAAATACACCAAAAGTTGACTGTTTTTACTCCTGAGTTGTGGGACAATGGGGCAAATATATATTTGTTTTCTATTGTAATTTTAATTTTTATCATGAACATGTACAATTTTAAAATCAGAAAAAGAGTAAAGATAATTTTTAATGGGTGGGTGGCAAAATAAAGGCTATCCAGAAAGACATTCAAGTTCTCTAACATGGCCTTCAATGTGGATCGGAGAGCTGAAAGTGGTACCTTGGCACTCCAATTCTTTGTCTTCTCTAGTCTGTATGGCAGACTTGAAGGGTAGCCCCTTCTCCACCCTCAGAGACCCAAATTAAGTTTTAAATGAGAAAGTGGCACAAACAGTAAAGTCAAAGAGAAAACAACCAAATCAAACCATCTCCTTCTTTAGCAAATGCTAATTGTGTTGACTTTGACAGAGAGAATTAAATTCTCTGATTCACAGATCCAACAAAAATTTTTTTCCAAGATTTTCCTTTATAAAAAGGATACCTGTCCTCCGGGGCTTTAAGTATAAAGCCTCATAGCTAAACTTCTCTACTCATTTCTAAATCATTGTATAGTTTCTCAAGTTGTATTTACACGATATGGGAAGGGAAGAAAAAGGAACTAGCCGAACTAACGAATTTGGCCTGCACTTCATAAAAGTAAATGCAATCA